CAGGAATGCAGCACTGCCCACGAAGGAGTCTGGCTGAAGAAAAGCACACTTGAGTCTGACTGAGACTCTAGATTTAAGTACCAAATTACAGGAAATCCAGAGGGACAGAGGAGTCTGCTAAATACCATCTTGGGGCTGCAAAAATCAAAAAACAAACCTCCTGACTCTGGCAAACTCTACAGTCAGATAACCCAGTTTCTTCAAAAATCAGTTGTGAGGGCTTCCCTGGTGGCGCAGTGGTTGAGAGTCTGCCTGCTGATGCAGGGGACACGGGTTCGCCCCGGTCCGGGAAGATCCCACATGCCGCGGAGGGGCTGGGCCCGTGAGCCATGGCCGCTGAGCCTGCGCGTCCAGAGCCTGTGCTCCGCAACGGGAGAGGCCACAACAGTGAGAGGCCCGCGTACCGCAAAAAAAAAAAAAAAAAAAATCCTTTTTAGGAACCTCTGCCATCTTCCTTTCTCACTGTAAAATGGGCATAATAAGTGACCACCCTCTGACACAGTCCTGAGGACAAGAGAGGGAAAAGCCAGTTGAAGTTGGGCTGGCGGTAAGCATTGTCCCTTCCCCATCTTCCTGGAAAATGCAGGAATTCAAGAGTTAGGGCTAGGGGCTTCCCTGGTGGCACAGTGGTTGAGAGTCCGCCTGCCGATGCGGGGGACACGGGTTCGTGCCCCGGTCCGGGAAGATCCCACATGCCGCGGAGCGGCTAGGCCCGTGAGCCATGGCCGCTGAGCCTGCGCGTCCGGAGCCTGTGCTCCGCAACGGGAGAGGCCACAACAGTGAGAGGCCCGCGTACCGCAAAAAAAAAAAGAAAAAAAATCAGTTGTGAGAAGAAAGTTAAACATGAAGGCGACGCGAGAAAGGACCTGAGACGCATTGACCAATGTATGGGCCTTATTTGGATTCTGATACAAATACACTGGGGGTTGAAAAAAATAATAGTAACTGTGGACACAGACTGTGTATTTGCTGGTAACACAGGGTGAAATGATACTGTGTCTACAAATGCTTTAAAATAATTTGGAAGGAGGGCAGTTGGGTTGGGATACAGATGAAACAAGACTAGCCATGGACAGGTAATTGATAGGGTGTCCACATGTGTGTTCATGATACTATTCCATCTACTTAGGAATGTATTTGAAAGTTTTATAATTAAATTAAAAATACTGTGAATTAATAGGGAATAGCTTGACATTTTGTTCCTCTATGCAGTGCATTGAGAAGTACGTGTCATCTGTATAGAATTGTTGCCAGTAATATCTGAGTCTATCAGAAAACAATCACATAAGCTCATAATGTGTGACATTCTACAAGGCAGTTTTCTTGGGTTGTCTACAAAATGTCAGTGTTATGAAAAGCAACGAAAAAATAATGTCATAAAAAAACAATCAAATACAATGCATGATTCTTTCTTGAGCGGATCCCTTTTGCCCTTAAAAAGTTATGAAAGGGGCTTCCCTGGTGGCGCAGTGGTTGAGAGTCCACCTGCCGATGCAGGGGACATGGGTTCGTGCCCCGGCCCGGGAAGATCCCACATGCCGCGGAGCGGCTGGGCCTGTGAGCCATGGCCGCTGAGCCTGCGTGTCCAGAGCCCGTGCTCCGCAACGGGAAAGGGAGGCCACAACAATGAGAGGCTTGTGTACCGCAAAAAAAAAAAAAAGTTATGAAAGATATTTTGGGTACAATGCAGACATTTGAATATGGATTCATAATACATGATATTATTGAATTAATATTAATTATTTTAGGTATGATGATGGTTATGTGGTTCTTCAGCAGGGTGTCCTTATTCTTAGGAGAAGTGTATGGAAGTATTTTAGGGTGAATTGTATGGTGTCTGCAAATTACTTGAAACATACATGGATTAGGTTGCTGCATTTTAAATCACTATTTTCCTAGGTTGGAAACATTCAAATATCAGCAAATGCCTGAGATTCAACCTAACACTTGTTGAAAGATAGAGAAAAAAGCAAATGGGGGGCTCTGGGTGAAGCATATACAAATGTTTGCACTATTCTTTCACCTTTCTATGTGTTTGAACTTTTTCGAAATAGTTAAGAACAAACAGGTAATCAGCGTACAAAAATGAACTCTCAGCAAATACATATTTGTTAGACTAAGTGTGCTGACGATATTCTCTCTGGCAATAATTGCCTGTAATCGTGTTTAATAGAATTAATTCTAAACTAAGATGGATTCAGAATACAGAAAAGACGAAAAGCTTTATTTCATTGTATGAACTTTCATGTGACAAAGAACAGAAAAATAAAGAACTATAGGTGGAAATTAAGAAAAGAGTTTAGTGATGTCTTAAGGAATTTTTTTTTTTTTTTTTTAACGTGGATGACATTTAAAGACAGATCCACTGTAGGAGAAAATTTTCTTATTTTTTGTCAAGAGATCAAAAATGGCTTTTATCTAGGCATGGCGTCAACACTCCTTGTAAGATAGGATATATCTCTAGAATTTGAAAAAGAAAAACTCTTATCCTCTTCCACCCCTTCCCTGGTTGCCATGAGGTGTCAAGTTGAGGCACATTTTGCTCAGGGTTATTGGGGTCTTGTGAGCAACTATGGCAGATTGATAAAGTCATGAGATGGTAATTCCTACTCCGCTACAAAATTTCCCTAAGTGATTATAACAGCCCCTGATATCATTCTCCTTTTTTCAATCCAAACAGATCCCTAAAGAAGTGGCTGACATCTTTAACGCCCCCAGTGATGATGAAGAGTTTGTCGGTTTCCGAGATGATGTTCCCATGGAAACCCTGTCATCAGAGGAGAGCTGCTATAGTTTTGACTCACTGGAGTCAGGGAAGCAGGTATGGGTGCCTCCTTTCAAGGCAGGCGTATCCGTCTGGAAGCTTGGATCTTGGTTCGGATATTCTTTTACTTGAACATGGTCTGAGACTGGTGGTATCAGTTAATTGTCGAGCATCTTATTTTATTAGTGTTACACCTTCATGTTTCAAGCAACTGGTGAGGGTACCTCGCTCAGTTTTGCTGTTTAAATCCTTTCTATGTACAATCTTTTTTTTTTTTTTTTTTTTCAGTAAAGGGGACCTCACATGATCAAATCCGTTTTCTTTGCCACCTTGGGGCTGCAGCCTGTGGCCAGGCTGCATTTGGAGCGCTCCCACACAGCTGGCGGGGTAGGGCTGATCCCCCAGCGGTAGCGTAGGAGTGTGTGGTTACCATAAGACACATGGCCTCTGTGCTGCTGTGGTGAGGCTCTGTCTGCACCTCACTCATGGGATTGCTGGCGAGAGCATTGTTCTTTCTTTAATTCCTTTGATCTGTGGCAGACACAAGTTGCAGTTCTTGGAGAGGTAGATTCCTGGAGGTTTATGTTGTGATTTGGCAGGAGCATGGCCAAAGTATCCAGGCTTCCGTGGCATTTTTTTCTGAGTTCATTTGTGGCACTCAGGATTCCTCATTCTCCCTCGACCATGGCCTCTCCTAAAAGGCTGTGAGTTAAACCCACCTAGCTTCCACTGGGCAAGTAGAGGAAGGCAGGCAGTTAATTATGTAAGTGAAGCCCCCGCTTGATGGCAGTGTGTGTGGTCTCCTCACCTTATTTGATGCCTCTGCATCATTTGACACCCCTCCCCCCCCCCAGCCACCTGCTTCCACTCCCCTTGGTCTCTTTCTCTTACACCTTTTGTTCTTGGTTGTCATCCCTTCTACTTCCTGTCCCCATCTGTGGATGTTCTCCAAGATTTTATCTTCAGACCTTTCCACTTAATGATCTCAGTGCCTGGCCTGGTCTCAGCCATTGCCTCCTGGTTCTCTGTGGTTTGGCTCTTCCCTCCAGCCCCAGATGTACTTCTGACAGCCACTTGGATCCGTCGTCATTGCTCAAGGGAGATCTGAAACTCACCATTTTCCCTCCCTGGTTGTCTGTCTTCCCCATTTTTGTCTCCAACTTTGGAGCTCTTGACGCCTCCTGTTTCCTCACCCATCTCCTCAAGTCCCTTGCAGGAGTTGATGAATCTTCTGCCATGTTCCTCACCTCCATCCCTTCCCGTCTCTTCCCTCCTCAGCTCCTGTGGTTCTCATAGCCCTTACCGCAGGTGTGGGACTGAGCTCTGGTCACCATCCTCCCCTGTTCAGAAATCGCCAGTCCCTCCGTTCGAATGTGGTCAGGCTGTGAGGGGCAGCCTGTTGGGTCCAGTGTGAGTGGCCCTCTGAGCGGCGCGGGACGTTGTGTGAAGCGCCGGCACGAGCCTGGCGGGCAGCAGGCCTTAAGGAACAGAGCGGCCGCTCTTGCTGCTGTGCCGACTGCCCCTTCTCATGTGCCCTCACACCTGCCCCCAGTCCAGCCCTGCTCCCGAGTCTGACCCCAGTATGCATTCCGTGGCCCGTGACAACATGCTTTTCATGCAGAGTGCCCTTAATTCACTATCTCCCTGGGAAGGTGCAGGCGCTGTTATTATTCCTGTTTCACGGGTGACGAAACTGAAGTGTGGGGAGGTGAAGTGACTTGGTCTGAGGCCTCACATCTGAGAAGTGGCCGGGCTGGGATGTTCCTAATCTAGGAGCCCCACTTCTCAGCCTCGTGCCTTGCACGGCTCTCTCCTGTGGGCTTTGCAGCAGTAGACCAGAAACTGCATCCATGCCCCCCGCATGCACTGTTCTGCCCGCTGTGCACACTGGTACAGGCTCTTCATCCTGCCTCTGTGCGCTCTCAGCATCTTTCTAGCCTCTAGCCCAGTTTAGATGCAGGTCAAATGATTCTGCTCCCATGAAGTCTTAACTGGATTTTCTTTCTTTCTGTGCGCCATGTTGTGTGTGTCTCCCTTACAACACTGATCCTCGCCATGGTGACCTGTGGACTTGTCCAGCTCCCTTACTAAATGACAAGCTCCTTGATGGAAGGGGCCTCATACTTGAACGGTGCTTTCCAGCTTCCCCGGCTTGGGCTGCTTCCTTGGGTTGTCCCTTTCCTCTTGTTTCATACGTCCAGTGCCCATGGGCGAAGGAGCACCCATGGGGCGGAACTGAGGTGGGATACTTGTCTGACTGGTTCAGCCACCATGACTTCCAGTCTGTTTCTTCACGTCCCATGAGCTTCAAAATAAAAAAAAAAAGTCACCACTCTGTTAGCTTCTCTTCTGATCTGTTATTTGCTTATGTTCTTTTTGTTTTTGTTTTTGTTTTTTTTTGAGGTACGCGGGCCTCTCACTGCTGTGGCCTCTCCCGTTGCAGAGCACAGGCTCCGGACGCGCAGGCTCAGCGGCCATGGCTCACGGGCCCAGCCGCTCCGCGGCACGTGGGATCCTCCCGGACCGGGGCACGAACCCCGGCAGGCGGACTCTCAACCACTGCGCCACCAGGGAAGCCCTGCTTATGTTCTTGATCACGGTAGATGCAGGTCACCAAAGCCCACAACATACTGTCTAGTAGTGATTTTAAAGGCTAACGGCCAGATTTCGGAGAACAAAGAGCTGTGTGAGGCTTGTAACCAGGGACACAGGAGACTGTGGAGTGGATGTTCGCTTTGTTACAGACCCCCATTAAAGATGGTTTTTACACCCTGTGAAATCAGGAGAATAAAAGCATGGGCCTTGGTTTAGGGCTGCAGCTGAGTTGTTTTCTCTATCAGAACTGGCCACCAAAGATACTGATCTCTCCCAGGCTGACTGCTGCCTGTGACACCAGCTCAAAGCACAGAAAGAGCCAGGGGACTGGCAGGTTGGAACCTGCTGTTCCAAGGCATGACCTGTTCAGGCTCCAGCCAGGGACTTTGGGTAGATGACGAAGTGTGCACATGGGCCCCATTGCCCTGCAGCAGCCTGCAGGGGCTGGCCCAGGGCTCTTGAGCCAGATGTTTCCTGCCCTCGGAGGTGGTGGGTTTCCTTGGGAGCCAACCGCGCACCATTCTTCATGACAGACCCTGGCCTGCTGCTTCCCCACCTGGACCCCACACACTCCGGATCCATTTTAACCCACCGAGAGAAGCCGCGTGAACTTGTACGTAGTGTGTGCAGCAGTGCCGGCGCTGGTCTCCCTAAAGCACAATTTGAATTTCACTTTAAAGAAACTTCCCTTTTGTGTGTGAATTTTTTTTTTTTTTTAAGCAGCTGCACCACAGCTATCAACAAAGGGATGAAGTAATTTACATCTGAGCACAGTCACTCCATTTACCCATAATAATTCACAGGAGACATTTTTAAGCTTAAAAAGATGCCGGGTATAGGCATTTCTTTCTTTTTCCCCCCGGGAAGTTTTTCCACTCGTCTGTTACGTCTGTTTTTCTCCAGAGACTGATCATCCGAGGTCGAAGAAGTATATAATTAAAGTCAGGGAAAAGGCCGGCAGGGAGATAAAGATTCTCCAGCCGCATGTGCTGTCAAGAGGGGTCATACCCCTGCATCAGGGGTAGGAGGGGAGACGTCAGAGGCAGCAGGGGACATGGACTCCAGGCCTGGCTGCCAGCTTGGAGGAGGCTGGTTTGTGGGTCTCCGTTCTGTAAAGCCATTCTTGCTTTTCCCCTCCTCTCTTTCAAGCATGCCATTTATTTTTATGAGTTCAGACGAAAGAAAAAGTCACTACTGGAACACGTCCTTTCTGAGTCAGCCGTGTAACATCTTTCCTCGGGCTCCCTTGCTACCTGCCGGCGGTGGCTGCTTCTCACCTCCTGCGGGAGAGGGACTCCCTAGCGGGCAGCGGAGCAACTGCGTGCCCCTCCGCGGTGGGCGGGGCGGGGTGGGGTGTGGAAGCCTCCAGCCCTGTCCTGCCCGGAGGCGTGCTGTCTGTTAACCAGGCGTCTCCCCTGGGAGGAGGCGGCTTGGGATAGCTGTTGGAAAGGAAAGCCAGCGTGCGTGGAGGAGCCAGGGCCAGGTCTTCTCTTCCACGTGTTTTCGGTCCTGTGTGAACGCAGGCGCTCCTGATGGCCCGCCCCGGTGGGAGAAACTGAATTCCATCAGCCCCTAGCGGGCACACCAGCTGATAGAGGCTGCGGCCATTCTGGCTTCTTGAAATTGTTCAATCTGTGGGTCTAACTTTCTGCAAACTATGGAAAATATGTATATATACGTGTGTTTTTATTGTGGTAAAAGCTACATAAAATTTACCATTTTAACCATTTTTAAGTGCGGTAAGTCCCAGTGTGCTGCCTGCAAGACACTGAGAGGCGTTACAGCGTCTTGAGGCCTTCACCATTATCTGTTGCCAGAATGTTTTCATCGTCTCACACAGAAACTCTGTCCCCATTAAACAGTAACTGCCCTTGTCCCCAGCTCCTGCCAGCCTCTGTTCTTCTTTCTTTCTCCATGACATATGTGTGTTTTTGATTTAGCAGGATGTGCGTTTCCAGTCCAAAACCTTCACAGAAGAGCTAAGGAGAATTTTTAGAGAGGACAGTGACTCAGAGACGGAAGATTTTGAAGGATTCACGCAGAGTGATCTGAATGTTAACAGTAACGCAGAAGTAATGGTAATAATTATCAACGTGAGGGAGGGTGGGTTGTAATATTTTTAGTCCTGGTTCCGAATTGTATTGTTACTTGTAAGAAGTCACTTTACACATGAAAAGGTTTTACTTTTTCTTACATGTTCATCTTATAAGCCAGTTAACAAAATATAAAGGTTTTACTTTTTCTCACAGTGTCCAGCTTCTAAGCCAGTTAGCTAAATGTAAACTTGGCTATTCTTGGCCAGGTGAATTCCTGGCCCACCAGTCCATTATTCTCTTAGAGAAAATCCACTTGGCTTTCCTGGGTGCCTTTGGAGTCTGGGGGGATGTGTCCCAGGCGTCCCTTATTATCCTTATCAGAGAATTTATTTCAGACTTCTTTGAACCTCTTTTATCTGAAAAGAGGAGGGTCTGAGAGTAACAAGTTCCTGAAAGTCGTTTTCTGTTGTGCGCCAAGTAATGTTCTTAGGTTTGGAGTTGATTTGGCAAAAATTTAGCTGTGGTACAAACTTAAGAGTTTTGTCTGTGCATTCTTGATTTGGATCACGACGTGCTTTTTAATGATAAAGATGACCTGGGCTTGTCTGATTCCTAAGGGAAATCTGCCCTCAGCCCTTTGCCATCAAGAGACTTGTTGGTTGATCTCTTTTTTTTCCCATGTGTTTAGTAGGCCAGTTGACTGCCGACCAGTATTTGGATCTCAGGGTAACTTTGAAGAACAGCCTTTGGATTTTTTTTAGGCATAAAAATGTTTTTTACTAACTGAAAAATAGCATACATTTATCTCAGAAAATCAATACACCACTTCCTTCTTTGGTATCAAGATAAGGGATAGAGCGGTTAAACCTCATTACGTTCAGAAGCTCCCAGAGAAGCACTCCTGGCGTGGAACCTGTATAGGTGTTTAAATAAGCTGTAACCAGTAGTGTCCCTTTGTCCTTCACCTTTTCCTGGGGGGACTTAAGGCCTGAAAGCCTTAATGGTAGGCTGCCTTGCTCGATGGTGATTTATTTCTGTGAATAGCAACACAGACCTGTGCCAACCTATCGGCCTCAGCCCCCCGCCCCTTGGCTTTCTTTACAGAAGTTATTTGCATGGCAGTTCATGTGTTCTGGCCAGCAAGGCTCTGGTTTCTAGATCCTTCCAAACCCTGATGGGTATCATCTACTCTTAGTGACTTGTTTATCTTCTCTTCTTTAGCTAAGTAATTTTGGGATATTCAAAGAATTTGTTTCCAGCATGCAAAAGTGAATTACCCCCAGCACTTTTTTTTTGGTTTTCTTCCAAATCTGTACATTTAGGGAATGAATCGTGACATGTTACGTTGACTCTGATGTAACTCATAGCTCAGGGCAGGTCCACCTGTACATTTATTTTGAAATTCAGTGAGAAAGTAAGCCTTGTTGCCTCCTCACCCAACCTCCTGCCCACCCTAGTGAGTAGTGGTGAGACCACCTTTTTGGCAATAGGGTATGACTCTACGTTGGTGTCTAGTGGTCTTGTAGCCAGACGTGGAACTGCCGCAGCCGTGGTGCTGGCTCTCAGGTTGGAGTCTGCACTGGTGGCTCTTTCCGTACTTCAGTCCTTTGTAGTATGCTACTCCACGGCCTTGGTAAAGAGACGTGGCTTAGACGGCGATTATGATAAATGAATAAAGCCAGTCAGGGGAGATAATTCCTCTGAAGTCCTCCAACACTGTCTTCTAAAATAGATTCCTCTGAGCCCACTATTTGGAATTCCAAAGCTACTAATGTGGAGAGTTCAGGATATTAAAACAAATAGGTAACTCCGTACAGTACAGTCTTATTTCTCTGCTTGGCTTTTTGTGCCTTGATACATACACCAAGGTTTGGAAGTTGTCTTTTTTTTTTTTTTTAACATTCATATTCCTTAGTTCCTCTTAGTTTGGCCTATCATCATAATGTTTGCTGGTTTTAAGTGGTGTTGGCATCTCTGGTACCCATAAGGTCACAGGTAAATGGTATTTAAAAAATAAAACATGGCCTATTATTAGGCATGGCTTTGAGTTAAAACGTCTCCTTTGGGACGGCACCTGGCTTTATTTTTCCAATCCACTCGAGGGGTAGGGACTGCAGAGGGGCCTTCTCCCACTGACCCGCACTGGCGTCACCCCAGGGGCTCGAGCCTTCTTCGGCATGTGGGTCCTTCCCGGACCGGGGCACGAACCCGTGTCCCCTGCGTCGGCAGGCGGACTCTCAACCACTGAGCCACCAGGGAATCCCTGTCTGCTTTTTTCTTCCCCTCCCGCCGCTTTGTTTTTAACTTGAGTCCAGCTGGAATTTGGGGGGGGTGGTCACCGAGGAAGAAGCAGAGTCATCAACTGAATCCCAGGCGGCTCCTGGTGCTGTTCTCAGCTCTCCTCACAGCCTGAGTCCCTGAACAGAGGTGCCCAGGCTACACTGTCCAGCCTGTGGTCAAGGAAAGAGGCCAGGCGATGACCTTGATCCCAATGTTTAAACCCATCTCTGCTGTTGCTAAGAGTCCTTTGCATCTGAGATGTCCCCTTGCTGTTGCCTTCCATTCTTACTGTGTTCTCACGTGTGAAACCAAGTTATGTTTTAATGCTGGAGACCTTTGCTGAGTGGAGACTGAAAATTGAGGCTGAGAATTGCTTGAGCTGACCGAACAGGTGCCTGCAGCCACCTGCAGAGCTGTCTGCCTGATTGCACCCCATGGCGCTGCGGGTTTACAGAAAGGGGAGGAGGCTTCCCTTGAGTGAGGACCCAGTGTATCCTGGGGATGAGGTTCCGCCACTGACCCCGATGGCAGGTCATCTGCCTGCTCCTTGGTCACTGCACTAAAATGAAGTCAGCTCTCCTGTCCCTCTTACTCGTGAGTTCTGTTCCAGCTAGTTAGCGCAGAATGGTATTTTATTTTTCACTCAGCACTCCATTTTTATCTGAGGATACCTCTGATGTCATGCACACCCTTTTCTTTGTTCCCATATTCCTGGGCTCCCAGGTGTGCCAGCTTGGCTGGTCCGCTGGGGAGGAGCCCACCTCGTCAGCGTTTGGCTTCCAGCCTGATGCTCTCAAGAGAACACAGTCTGCCGGTGGGTGTGGCTGGGCCAGAGCGCGTAGCAGCCTGCTCTTTGATTTTGTTCATCTACAAACTACTTGCTCATTTAACTGAAGAGTTCAGAGGGAACTACCAATAGGAAGGGAGAGCTTTCAACTAGTCATTGTTTTCCTAAAATACTGTCAGAGTGGTTGTAAGTGTGTGTCTTTCTGAAGGTTTGTTTATAGGCACTGTCTTTGTTCTTTCTCTCATTTCATTAGCTCGTGGAGTCAGAGCTCAGTGATGATGGTAAAGCATCTTTCATGAGTGAGGAAGAGGAAGATGAGGAAGAAAAGGCTCCACCTAGAAGCAGCAGGCCGAGAAGAAGCAGTATTGGTCTTCGAGTAGCCTTTCAGTTCCCCACCAAGAAACCGGCAAAAAATGCCGGTAAGAACAGTTCTCCTGAGCCGTTGTTTTCTGGCTCGCACATACAGGACAGTAAGAATGGAATTCTCGGAAGAAAGACAAGCTGCAGACAGAGGAAGGAAAGGGAAGATTCTGCCTCTGAGTCTGAGGATGACTCCAGGGACGAGGGCCAGGAGAGCTCAGATGCCCTGCTGAAAAGGACCATGAACATCGAGGAGAACAAAGCCATGGTAAGGCCGCGCGGCCCACGACAGCCACTGCTGGGGCTCCCAGGGCTGCGTCCTCACAGCCGCTGCTGCTTTGACTTCGGTCAGAAAGTGTGCTCTGGGCATTGTGGGTTCTTTCTCTTTTCTTGGACCCCAAGCGGTTATCACCTGATTAGCTCTGGTTTGGGAACAGAGACTCCCGGGACCATTTTTAGCCCCCTCCACAGTGCCATGGACTAAACGCCATTGACTGTTGATCAGGTTATGTTGCAGATATGCAGTGGTATTTTACAGAGATGAGAGGGCCTGTTCCCGGCAGAAAGAAGCAATGTGTAAACGTGGGTGTCATGAAGCCCACTTAGAAGTTGCTTTGTGCAGGTCAGGCAGGCAGCTTTCAAGCTAGATGCTGTAGTGTCAAGATATCAGCTAAAGGAATGAAAGGGCTCTAGGTATTAAAAGGAACTGAGCAGTTTTGAATCACTTTAAAATGTTTTCACCAGAATAATTAATGGAACAAGGTGAAATCTTTGTGTATTCGGTTCTTCTCTGTGTGGTCAGTAACTGTGGTTTCCTTCATAATTTTATACACACAGAATTTAAGAAAATCATACCCATCATCATCACTTTTAGTATTTTGGTATATTTTTTTCTTTAATATTTTCTTTTTAAAAAGCATAATTTAATGATACTGTATATGCAGTCTTATTATATGTCTATTAAGTTGCTGAAGAAAATATAAAGCCTACTTTGGGGTGTAATTTATCCAGAGACACATTTGTGCTCAGTTAAGAGAAATTTTTAGCGTCGTTATCTCTCTGCATCTTTAAAATAAGAACTATGAGGGCTTCCCTGGTGGTGCAGTGGTTGAGAGTCCACCTGCCGATGCAGGCAGGGGACACGGGTTCGTGCCCCGGTCCGGGAAGATCCCACATGCCGCAGAGCGGCTGGGCCCGTGAGCCATGGCCGCTGAGCCTGCGTGTCCGGAGCCTGTGCTCCGCAACAGGAGAGGCCACAACAGTGAGAGGCCCGCGTACTGCAAAAAAAAAAATAAGAAGAAGAACTATGTTCATGATTTTAGGATTTATGGGTGACACCCATACCTCTGTGTAAGTCTAAAACTAAAAGGAATCCTAATTAAATTGTATGATTGGCACGTTAATGCCTGTTATTTGGTGTTCTTAGGTGTTTATTTGGGAATATTTTCATAAATTATTTTTATTGATAAGAAATGAACCAACTTCAAGAATCAGTGTTTCGGAGCTCTGAACAACTGCCAGAATGATCTAGTTGGGCCTTTTCTGTTGTGAACATGATGAAACTTGATTCGGGTGGGCAAAATGATAGGTTCCAGGGTCACACTGAGAGTTAGTAGCCCAGTCACGATTCTAACCGCATGCTCCAGGCCTTGGACCTTCCAGGACAGTTTTCATCGCGTCTTCTCCTTCTACCTAAGGAACGGGCATAGATTTTATTCCTCTCATGCTATCAGCATCTCACCTGCGTAGATAAAAATCTTTACATGTGAGGTTAAACAAGTAACAACTGCTGAGATCTTACGTAAACTACAAGTTTCTCACGGCTTCAAACTGGAAGGCTTGTGATAAACGTGTTAGATGAAGTAGACGTGGCAATATTTATGCACGATCCTTTCTCTCTTCTGAACTTCAGCTTGCTCAGTTATTGGCGGAATTGAACTCAATGCCAGATTTCTTCCCGCTCCGAACCCCGAACTCAGCTTCTTCCGTAAGTGGAACTCCTTATATGTATTGATTCCAGTACTCATGCACACAGTCGGTTGCTAGATGGCTTTCGTTTCCAGAAAGCAGCCAGCTGTGTGTGTCTGTGCTCTCTCACCTGCAGAAGAAGAAAGCAGTGAGGCGGGCCTTCTCAGAGGGACAGATCACACGGCGCACCAACCCGGCTCGGAGCGCACGGCCTCCCGAGAAGTTCGCCCTGGAGAACTTCACCGTGTCGGCCGCCAAGTTCGCAGAAGAGTTCTACAGTTTCAGAAGAAGGAAGACAACAAGCGGGGTATTTTCTGACTATAATGAACCAATGCTTCTTTGTCTAAGCCAGCGGTCCTCGCACGTGAGCGTTCATCACAGCCCTCTGGGGCTCGGTGAGAGGGCTGAGGTTCTGACTCGGTAGGTCTGCAGCAGCTGAGAAGTTGCATTTCAGCCAAGTTCCCAGATGCTGTGGGTACTCCTGAGACCGCACTCGGAAAAGAACCCCGGGCCTAAGCTTGCGCTTGATCTAAGCTGTAGGCCACGAAGCGGGTCCTTCCTCTAAACTGAGCAATGGTTAGGACCCCAGCTTCATCTCCAGTGGAGGCTGTAAAGGGCTGATAACGGCAGCAGGTGGCTTCGTGGTTTTGCTTGTGGGCAAGTATAGTGATGTCTCTGGTCTTTCTGTTTAGGAATGGGGACTTTGGAGTGCTTTCAGTCTAGAGCAAGACACTTTGGACCCTTCCTATTTGTGGCTTTGGCTGTTCAGTGTGGTTCACTTCCCCGGCCTCACAGAGCTTGCCGCAGGCGACCATTCACTGGTCAGGGGAACCCTGAGCTGTGGTTTATCGTTCTGTGTCACCTTGCTATCAGGGAGGCCTGGCACTAAGGACAGGAGCTCAGCAAATGACTAAAATGTGTGAATGACTTCAGGGAAATAGAAGAGGGACCTAGTCAACATTCATGGTCCTAGAGCTCTGAGGAGCTTAAAACTTCGATAATTTTTTTTTAACCGCCCAAACCATCTCATGCCCAGTTCTGCTTTGGCTCGTTCTGCAGGGGAGATGCCAGGGATATCGACGACGTCGCCGTGTGTCTTCTTTTCGGCCAGTGGAGGACATCACTGAAGAGGACTTGGAGAACGTGGCCATAACTGTTCGAGATAAAATCTATGATAAAGTTCTGGTAAAGTATATCTGATGAATAATTCACATGATCGTGACTTATACTGGGAGTCCCAGGCACTGGTATTTGAAATCCTGCCTTGTTTTAAACTGTATCTGGGCTTACGCACTTGTGCCGTCTCCCCAGGGCGCAGAGCCCCATGGGCTCCGAGTTGGAGCAGCTATAACTGGGAAAGGGGAGACAGGTCTCTCTGGGGGATGCATATTATCTGTGGGGGGAATCAGGGGTGTAGTCTGGAAAAGCACAGTTGTAATTGTTATATTTTAAATAGGTTTTATGTTTTAAACGTTGAAAAACAGAATACACTTTTATAACCAACAGAAATGTATTTCCAATGTAGTATTAACACATATTGAAAACGTATGTATAATATATATTTTATATAACCAACAGAAACTAAAGTTTGATCGAATATCTTTGGTAGGTAGGAAGGAAATGTGTTAAGTTTTAAAATGGTAATGTAGTGGATGGCTTTGTGTTGTTTTGCATCCTTTTTAGATAATGAGACAGTGTCTTAAATACTATTAAAAGGTTTTCAATTTAATTGCCAACGTTTTAAAACCAGGAGATTTCATCCTGAACGTAACCGGATTGCTAGGAACTGGGTTGGAGCCGTGTGATGCTGCCCAGGGCTTATCATCACTCAGTCACCTGTCACCCCTGTGGGCTCCGGTCTCTCCCATCATTTCTGTCCAGCTGATCATTTCATTTCTTCCAGGCTCCCTGCTCAGTCTCATCTGCCCTAAGAGGTTTCTCTGGCCCCAGAACTAAAAGCGCTTACAGGCTGCCAGATAGTGCCAGTGTTTGTACCAGAGAAACAGCACTGCTCGATTCTGGGGGAGAGGCAGGGCTGCTTCGTGCACTTAGGATATCCGTGTGGCCTCGTGGGCCTCCCCCTCCAAATCCCATGTTCACCACCCACCGCCTTCCGCCTCAGGGTAACACTTGCCACCAGTGTCGGCAGAAGACTATTGACACCAAGACGGTGTGTCGGAACCAGAGCTGCGGCGGGGTGCGAGGACAGTTTTGTGGGCCTTGCCTGCGGAATCGCTACGGGGAGGACGTGAGATCGGCGCTGCTGGACCCGGTAGGCACAGTGCTCGCCTCGGCCTGAGGGGAGCCGAGGGAGCTCCCCCTCCCTCGGTGAGGGGAGCGAGCTGAGGACGGGGCTCCTGAGCCCTCTATCGGGTACCTGCAGCTGCAGAGCTCTGGGTTTTGTAGACCCACCTCACCACCCTCCTTTTCATTCTGCCTCTTGAGACTGGCAGCAATGAAAAGTAGAGTTTCCTGCCCTACAGATAGGACCGGAGAAAAGAGTGCGTTTCGCTTTCCAGGGTCAGAGGCAAGCTTTCTTAGAGTCAGGGTTTGTACAGGCGAGCCTGTGTCCCCTTCCTCCAGCAGCGTCCTTTACCTTGGATTTGCCGGGGCCAGGCCCAGGGGGGTGGGTATACCGCGGTGTAGGGTGCTTTCTGTGCGCACCTGCGCTGCTCTGAGATTTCACGTCTGTTAGTGCCGTTTATTTCAGTTGTTATTCTTTTAGCCTCCCAACACCTTGGTTCTCTCTGTAAAGTGAGATAATACATAGTATGGGGGTTAGTGTGTATGCCCCTGAACCTGGGCAGTCTGGCTCCAGAGTCTGTGCTCTTAACTGCTGCAAGACCTCTTATGCAGCAGTCATGGGGGTAAATAGACTGTCCCTAGTTTGCAGGTGAATGTAAACTGCTACTCAGGTTGAGTGACTTGAGAAACCCTATGCTCTCAGAAGCAGGGCCGACCTCCTGGGCATGTGACCTGTGAAGTAGTAAGGGGCCCTGCACGTGCTCTGATACCTGAAATTCTCCAAACCTTTTTGAACATACGTCTACTAACTATGCACCTGGTCCTGTTTAAAACCAACACGTTTCAGTGTTTCTGCATGCGTGATCTGGGGTGATCAGCCTTTCTGGACGTTTTTGAAACATGCGAGGGGAAGGAGACATTAGTACCTGTCACAGGGTGAAGGATGATCTGAAGAGTCTCACGTGATTAAAGATTGGTGGAGAGGCTGAGTGATCCAGGCTCAGTCAGAAGCTCATCTCGCGGGGAGAGCCTGTTGATAACGGGGGCATTTCTGCTGCCACTGCTTCCCTAGGGTTGGGTGTGTCCTCCCTGCCGGGGCATCTGCAACTGCAGTTACTGTCGGAAGCGTGATGGTCGCTGTGCCACAGGCATCCTCATTCATCTGGCCAAGTTTTACGGTTATAATAACGTTAAGGAATATCTGGAGAGGTAAGCCTCACAAATCAAAAACAGAGGTTGTAATTCCCGGGTGCAGCAGGGGAGACCCTCTAGGCAGGTACGGCGTTGCCTTGTTTCAGTCTGAGTCTTAGAAACCACATCGAGTGCCAGTTGTCCTGTGTCTGTCTGCATTGGGCAAGCTCGGGACTGGTATTTTCCCTATCGGGAAGTTCCCTCCTTTGCTAGAATTTCCCCGATTGCCTCCAACAGTAAAGAGTCTACAAGGCAGGCTGAGGGGAAGCTGCGAAGACCCGAGGCAGCACTAAGGAGAGGGGAGGCTTGGGCCACGTGCGCTTGGACGGGGAGGCTGCTTGCAGGGACGTGGGAGTCAGGCGAGTGGCCCTGGGGGCCGGCCCGCACCGCTGTGCGTGCGTGAGGAGTTGGGCCTGAGCTGGTCACAGGAGAGCCGGTTCGGGCTTGGTACTCTGGGGGATGGTTGAGCCTCTAACCTAGGATGCCGCTGTGCTTTTTGCCTCCGTCACACTAATGCTTCCCATTTTTTCTCAGCTTACAAAAGCAGCTGGTAAAAGACAACTAAGAGAAGAACCAGCCAGCTCACCATGGAGGACTCCAACAAGACATGCCATTTGTGCCTAAGATTTCTTATGGTTGTGTTTGTATACAGAAATTCTTTGTAGATCTAAATACTATTTTTCTTTTAAAGATTGTTTGTTTATATACTTCAAAAGATTTCTCAGGAAGATCAGGAAGACGAGAGGAATCGACATACATATGTATACGCAGGCCTGTTTATAGATTGAATTGTTAAAAGCATCTGCAGCTGATTAAAAAACATAGTTTAGATGGGGGGGGGGGTGGAGTTACCCCAGAGAAAACATTGTGTAAGCAGCTCTTGCCTTTGTTGCCTTGATCTTTTACCTCCCAAACCAGTCCCTGGAGGCCAGCTTGGGAGGCCAGCTTGTGACGGGTTACGTCCCCTTTAAGTTTACCTTATCACAAGTGACCATAGTTTAAGCTGCTCTGGGTCATTGGAAATTTATATTGAAAATGTTCCCCTAAATTACAAGGTGCAATTACCCGTAGAGCTTGAGTTTTATTTTTGTTAACACTTGAACAAAAAGTGGACTGTCAGTCAGTCACATTCCGGACACTGGAGGGCTGCTGGCCAGCAGGAGCAGCTGCCAGTGGCTTCTATATTTTAAAAGAATATAAAGGCTAATACTTTTTGTTTATCTATAAGAACTAGGCTCCCACGTGTATGGACCGGGAGGAGACTTCCAACCATATTGTTTCGGAGGTTCAGTGGAACGTTGATGACTGACAATGTGATCTATACTGTACTCTACTCTTTTTTGTGTTGCAGGAAGGCTGGGGAGAGCTAATAAAAATGAACAGATTTTCAGTGGGGTTCCCGTCTTTTTCTCTACATTTGCTTCTTTTTGTCCCCCTTCTCTACTTTTCAGAGATGGTGTTCGTTTGTTTAAAAACAACGAAGGTAGGGCTTCCCTGGTGGCGCAGTGGTTGAGAGTCCGCCTGCCGATGCAGGGGACACGGGTTCGTGCCCCGGTCCGGGAAGATCTCACATGCCGCGGGGCGGCTGGGCCCGTGAGCCATGGCCGCTGAGCCTGCGCGTCCGGAGCCTGTGCTCCGCAACGGGAGAGGCCACAACAGCGAGAGGCCCGCGTACCACACACACACAAAAAAACAACGAATGCACATTTTAAATTAGTTACTTAAAAGGTACATAAGCTGGACTCTGTTTTCTGCCTCTCAGTAGAATAAACGACCGTGCGGGAACAAGGACATCTCCGCGGTGCTCCGGCGGGAGGAATAGAAGCCCCTCTGCACGGGCCGTTGTTACGCCTCCAGGAGGAGGGCCACGCCTGCCAGGACCCATCTGGCCGCCTTTTCTTTGCTCTTCAACCTGAAGGTCCAGACACGGTTGGGGCCCCTCGTTTTGGTTTTGTACACAGGGCACTCGTAGGTGTGTCTGGTTTCCTGTCTGTCCGCGGGTATGGCTTTTGCAAAGATGACTGGCATTGCAGACCTTAACTCTTTGAGGTAGGCGTCCACGATGGCTCCTGACTGGCTGTCCCATCTGGCACCTACAGCATAAACCCAAGGGTTACAACCGTGCTGTATGTTGGTACTGAGCCTCTATTTGTTGTAGGCAATAAACGTTCCGGTTTTGTCACTTCACTCCTCGTCAGTGGCTTCCTTAGCGAGCTGGCCCATGACTGAGACGGGATGGGAGGGAGGTGAGGGTACTTGTTGCCCAGGGGCCACGCATACACTGTAAGCAGAGACTCTTCTTGCCCCCGTGCTAATGCCTGAGCTCTCTCCTGTGAACAGTAAACTAAATGGTCTGAATTTAAAACGTGTAAACCTTACTTACACGAAAACAGATCCCGTGAGAGAGAATCCAGATGCAGTAAAGCAAACTAGTTTGTCCTTCCTTTAAAAAAGTGCATCTGCATGCTTATGGACAGTATAATAAGACGTGTCCAATTCACATTCCCTCCCCACTGCACCTTTTTTTCTTCGTCTAAGTTCAGGTCACTTGTTGTTTGTACCACCTACCCCGCCTTTAAAGCACGTGCCGCACGTGTTCAGATGTTGAAAGTGAAAAAGGAGCATCTTGGCAGAGCCTTGGAAAACATTTCTCCAAGTGCCCTTTAAGGTAAGAGGAAGTGTTCTACAAGATAAGATAAATGCATGGGTGCATAAACTTGGAAAATACTGCATATTCTACCCCTTCGCCCGGAGATTCACAACATGCAGTGGCATCTTAACAGGCTTAGAGAGATCTGGTATTTTACCACAAGAGTGAAGTTAACAGTTTTTTAAAAAGGAGAAGAAAGATTTTTGCACTGATTAAAAAGCAAAGTAAATTCAGTGTATAGGTCTTTAAGTGATAGCCATGGCCTTAAAATTTGGCTCACATTGGACACACATCCTATCTATCTTAGCATTTAAATTGTTCGAAAGCCGGAAACGAGGTAAATAACCACCAGTGTGAGTGAGTGCTGAGCAATGGAATAAACAAAGGCCAAATACCAACTTGAAGGTGAGTGAGAAAGGTTCACTTCGGGACACATCTTACCTTCCATGAGGAGCCCGTGGAGGTATGCGCCTTCCCTGGGGGGGGTGCCCATAATCCTCCTTCGTTTTTTTGGTAACCTCAACAGTCAAGCACATTTTATCCAGTGGCCACTCGTTTCTTCGAGCCGTGGTCTGCATGATGGCTTTGGGAGGAGGACGGACAGGAATGGAGTAGGATAAAGCCACAGACAGAAGGGTCCCGGGAGCCACCCGTATAAGCTGAGCATCTCCCCGAGTGAGGCGTGCTTTGGTCCCACGGGGTGTTCTTGGGCATTCCACGTGGCTGCCCTAGAGCAGGGGTGGGGAACGAAGGCCTGCAGGACCACCTCCCTGCTTTGGTGGACGGAGTTTTACTGGAACGGTTATACCCATTTGGCTTATGCTCTGCCGTGCCAGAGTGGAACCGATGTGAGAGACCGGGCAGCCCGTGACGGGAAACGTTTACCGGGGTGAACCCCATCCCACCTCTCTTAGCTGCTCCTGTCCTGCCGGGCGTTTTGTTTCCTCTGTAGTGGCCAGGGCAGTGGGAGTGGCTGGGTTTCTGCTAGGGGGTGCGGCTGTGTCAGCATCAGGGGCCGCCCTGCCCCAGCCCTTACCAGTTAAGAAGGACTGAGGGTTGAAGAAGCCAGAAAGCCACACCACAGCCGGAAGGGCGAGATCTTGTGTCCAGGTATCCAGTTCCCGACATCGCAACAGGAGGTCATTAAACCTGGTGAGTAGAAGGTAAGAAGAAACAGACTTGCTTTTTGGTAATCAAGTTTTTCAGTAAGGTTAGAGTCCGCGGGGTCGAGGGCGGTGGTAGAGAGGTCCACAACTGATAACCAGTGAAATCGTTACCTGACGATTTGCAGAACACTGTCCCTTTAAAGGGCTAGATTATATGTCCCGTTGAGATTGGGGACAAGAAACACTGGGAAACGTGACCCAAAAATTCGCCTCCGTTTATTCAACCACTATTTTATTTAGATCCGCCCAGTGATACGTGGTGACTCCACACAGGTGATCTGTGTATGATCCGGGCTGACAGATGCCAACACGGAGGTACACAGGGACACACGGGAAAGAGCACCCCCCCCCCCCCC